TAGTAATAGTAATACACAAATAATTATATAATATCATCAAAATTATAATATTATATCATAATATAGTACCTTTTCATTAGTATTGATATAATATTTTAAAGTTAATACTTGTTACAATAAATTAATAAATATCCTAATAAATAAATATTAGAATAATATTATAATAAATATTATAGTCATTTATTATTATAATATATCATTATACTAAGCATTATAATAGTATTCTTATAATTATAATTATATTATAATAGACTAATATATTTATTAATTTATTATGATATTATAATAATATCATAAAAATTAAAATTATAATATCTTTTATTAGTATTAATATAACAATAATAATAACAACAACAATAAGAACAATTGTTACATGCGGGCTAGACCGCATTTGTACAATATGTGGTCCAAAGGTATAAAGCATCCATCTTAAAGATGGATGCAAATAGGTGGTCCATCTAAAAACAATTGTAACTAACTAACGGTCCAACTTGTTTCTTAATGTAATTATTATTTCTAGATTTCAAATTTTTTTTTTTTTTTTTTTTCATACTCTTGATCTCTATGTTAAAAATTATATATTCTCTAAAAATTAGGATCAAATTATATTTAAAAATATATATTTATTGCCAAGCCTACATTTCTACATGTGCGCGCTTGGCCGCATGCTATCCGGGTTTGTAGAAGGTGTCAACCTTATACTATTAATATAAGGTGCACCTCAAAACTATGCAGAAAATGTAGTTTCAATGCTGCAAATCCTCGAGATGATATGAAAATCTCTTATTACCCCCAATTATGAAATTCAAAGTTTCGGAAATGGTGATAATCTTGAATATCTATAAACACTTGAAAATAGATGGTCCAGATAATGTATTAAAAGATGAACTATTTTTAGGACTAGAAATCTCTATCTCTTTATGTCTATGAATCTTGAATCTTGAGGTCGAGATGATCAAATTGAGTGTGGAACAACCTTTTTTAGTGGATTTTTTAAGTGCACTTTACTTGTACAGTATAAGGTTGAGACCCTAGGGGTATTATCAGATGTCTGACAGTTTTTTTAATAAGCTAATGGTTGATTCCATATCTAAATGGGTAAGGCAAGTGCTGTGCCTTGGGCCTTTCATAAACAGACGGACTTATCGGCCTCCTATCCTAATAGAAACGACGGGATCACATCTTGTAAATATGGACAGAGACAGGAAAAGGGAAAGAGGGTTGCACCCCAATACAAAAGCTAGCTTTCCTAAAGGTATGGATTTGTACATTCCAAATTTCTTTTGGAACAAGTAAATGTGGTATATGAGAGGTTTTGAGGATGTGGGTATTCTGCTCTCCAAAAATACAACTAAACGACCTTAGAGCATCAAATCGAAAAGGATTTTACATATCTTAAGGTCATAAACCGCTCATAAGCAAGTCAAGAAACATTGAAGAGTTATGTTTACATTTTTAATACATGGCTCCTTAAAAATTATATTAAAAAAAGCTCCAATTGCCGACATTTTATTAATTTGACTCGCCCCCTTTTTTTAATAGGTAAATTGACTCATCTTAAATAAGCATGCTCATAGACTCTCGTCATTTTTGTTACGCACAATTAGTTTAACTAAAGAAGAAGTGTTGCGAGGACCGCATTTCTACATTTGCAATTCTAGAGGTATAAAACATCCATCTTAAAAACGGACGTAAATAGATAGTCCATCTTAAAACAATTGAAACTAATGATCCAGGTGTTTTCTTAATAGAAATTATTTCTAATTTTTAAAATTTTATTTTTTCATATTCATGATGCCGGTGCTAGATATTATGTCCTTAAAAATTAAGTCCAAAAATCCATCTAATTTTTTTTTTTTTTAGAGGTCTCAATTCTACATGGACTCAGAGAAACCGTGTCAACCGTGTCCTTTAAATCAAGTGAACCACTAACCGTTAGATCAAAAGATAATACGTCTCAAAGTATTTGATTTTTTAATTTGTTTTCTAGAAACCATAAGAATATGAAATGTGGCTGAGGGGTTAACCTAAAAATAAAATAGAAAATATTTTTTTAAAATAAATTATCAAAATGCCCTCCAAAAATAATCATTTCTTTCTATTCAAAAAAGATGTGGTTTCTATAATGTTGTAAGATGTGGTTTCTATAATGTTGTAGCCTTAAACAATCCAATTAAAGCGCACCTCCAAATTTTATCATAACATGTAATTTTGGTAAAAACAAATTATTAAAATTATCTCAAAATCTATTTTCATATCTAACTAAAAAGTTTTAAACTCCAAAAACAAATAGATCTATAAATATATGAAAATCTTAAAAATAAACGGTCTACGTTGCAAGATGCACTATATTTGAGACCCAAAATCGTTTTTTTTTTTTTCTTCGTATTCATACATCTTGATGTTGAGATGATCAATTAGAAAGTTTAACAACATTAAAACAACCTTGGATATGTAATTCTACATTCTAAGATTGCAACCTTATATAAACTTTTTCCTTTCAAAAGAAAGGACTTCCCCCCCCATAACAAAAAAACTATATAAAAAAAAAAATCTTAGACCACGCACATTTCTTACCCAAGAAAACAAAAGAAAGAACAGGACAAAATAACAAGAAAAAGTAAAGGAAAATCTAGCAAAAATACATAAGATGGGAGAATACAATGTAATGCTACCTCGCTTTTGTCAATGCAATCTAGTCATTTCCTCGACCCTCTTGCATAGCTCCTCCACAGGAACTCTCATGGCTGTTGATATCTCCTCCATTCTGGCCCTACTCAAATCGAGGAACGACTCAATGAGGTCCCCATCAAGAAACCCCCGTGCATCTGCTGTCTTCTTCTCATTGTTAAATGAGCGCCACTGCTCATGACTCAGGCCCCCAACTCCTTTGATCACCTTAACAAGACAACCTTGCAATTTCTCGAAAAACTTGAATTGGTGCTGAGAAAGACTGGCGACAATCCCGATCGCGCCATTAACAGTTCCAAAAATGACGGTGGGTATTTGGGAGGATTCGGAGTCCGGAAGTCGCATGACGAGGGATCCATGGCGGAAGCGGTTAACGAACTCACCAAGGTGATATTCTCCTATGACCTCGAGGCGGCCACGCTCCTCGTCCGTCGCAGCATCGCTGTTCTTGCGCACAGTAAAGAGGTTAAAGTTGTTCTCAGCACCAAGGTAGGTGTCGTCATCAAGTATCTCAACCGCTGTCATCCAGCTCGCATTGTAGTCACGGGCCCGCTCCTCGATTGCACCCTCCTCGTGCTGCCACCAAGAGAATTGTGATCTTAAATGGAAAAATAACTAATTGAAGTTGGCTACACTAATCCTGGTCCGTCTTTCTGCTCTATTATGGGTTAATACCCTCAATGAGGTCATAAATCTTCATATATTTTCTCACTACTTCCAACAATGTCATACATTCCGAATTTGGCACAGTTTTATTTGATTACCTACCTAACCAAACGCACCTCATATATTCCGAATTCATAAGACATTTTGGTAAAGTTTTATGTTGACTGCCTACCTAACACAACCCACCCCCTTTACCTGAACTTAGGATGGAAAATATTGAGATTAGTCCACAAGCTCAAATGAACATATGTATGCATATGAGCCCAACGGTTCAGATTGAATCTAGATCGATCTGACGGTCACGACCTCATTTCGTATTTTAATTTTTTTTTATGAATCCAAATATTTTAAAATTTTAAACGTATATTCTTCAAAAATAGGAGAACCTAATAAAAATATCAAAAAAATAATTTGCAAGAAATAAATTGACCAAATTACTCTTAAAAAGTTTCGGGGGTATTTTGATCAATTTATTTTTTGTTAATTATTTTTAAAATATTTTTATCAGGTGCGCCTTGCTGAAAAGAATACACGTCTAAAATTTAAAGTTATTTAAATTAGTAGAAAAAAATTAAAATTAAAATACGAAATGAGATCGTGACCATCAAATTGGCCCAGATTCAATCTGGGTCGTTGGACTCATATATTCTATGAGCTAGTTGGCTAATCTCAACATTTTCATATATATATATATATATATATATAAGAGAGAGAGAGAGAGAGGAGGAGAGAGAGATACACTAATACTATGACGTAGTGTCGTAGAAGTAACTACGTAGGTACGTAGTAGTTACGTTTTCGGTTTAGGGTAGGTTACTTTACTATTAGTACTTA